TATATATAAAACGCTATTAGTCTTCATCTTTTTCTAGTTTTAAAAATTAAAAAAAAGTGAAGAGTAAGTTGAACCGAAATTAAAGTTAATCTACGTTGGTGGAACCGGGCATAAGGGCTACTTTGACCACATTCTGGTTAATTTAATCGTCACTGAGTTGCCAACATGACAAATAAAACACATTTTATAATAGAAAATGATTAGGGAGACGGATATATCGACAGAAATACTGTTGGTAACATTAAAACTTATAATAATCGTCGATTACTTTAACCGAAACTTGGTCGAAGTGACCATAAAGATTGAGGCCGGCGTCACATAGAACCCGTAATCCGTAATCCGCACCGAAAGTCCGCAAAAGTTACTAGGGATTGCGTCCGTAACGTTACGTGTGTTTTAGGCCGGCGTCACATAGAACCCGTAATCCGTAATCCGCACCGAAAGTCCGCAAAAGTTACTAGGGATTGCGTCCGTAACGTTACGTGTGTTTTATCTCCTTGTGTCCCATGGAGCCGTAATTCCATGAAATTTCCGTAAAAGTTACTAAAAGTTACTAGTTATTACTAGTAATGTCTTTTTTTAATTTTATTTATTTAACTAAATTTGACGATTTAATTAAAATTTTTGTTAAAATTATAATATATTCTGTAGTTTTCTTATGAATAAAATACAAATAAACAATTATAATTTGTTAAATAAAAATAGTAATACCGTTACGTGTGTATTTACGGCTCCATGGGACACAAGGAGAAAAAACATACGTAACGTTACGGACGCAATCCCTAGTAACTTTTGCGGACTTCCGGTGCGGATTACGGATTACGGGTTCTATGTGACGCCGGCCTGAAATTTGACCAATCAAAACAAAAGAAACTAAAAAATCTTTGTCCTGATTTGCCCTTGGTCGGATTTCGATCTTCAATCTCAATCTTCAATGTGTAGTCTGATACAGGCATTAGATACCTGTGTGGAAAGCACATACTTCTATTGGATATTCGTCAATGACAGATGCAATGTGGACCTTGCATCATGCAATCGTGCAAATTTGTCTGGACATACCTTAATTAATGCTGAGGTATTTTCTTATAATTTCCTTTTATTTAACTTTTTTGTCAAAAAAATAAAAGAAAGTAATATTGTAATATGAAATAATTTGAAAACATAAGTTGGGAAAAAAATGGAAACGCAAAAAACAATTTTGAATTGAGAAAATTATTTTCTTATTCGATATCCAATTGGCAAATCGGACAACTTTTCTACGAAAAGTGCAATTGTGGAAGCAACTTGACACTCATTGGTGAATTGTTGTGTAGCACTGTAGCATTTGCAGGCATTCGCGAGCATTCGCGAATCCTTGTAACCTGGAAGTCAAAACATGATTCCGTGCAATTTACGTTCGTATAATTGCTCTTGTCTAGACTCGTTCGCGGTTTAGCGACGTGCGCGACGTACATCGACGACATCGATGCGAGGACAAAATTGTCTCCACGGGTTATCCACGAAGGACGACGATGTCGGGCAGCAGCGATTCCGAGGAATTTTTCGACGCGGAGGATGACTCGTTTCATCGCGCGTCACGGTAATCGTCGCTTTTGTTCATTCTCGGTTATTTGCAAATTGCAAATGAATGATGCGCGTTTTGCACACTTTTTATGCTCACATGATTCAGGTGATTCATCGTATGCATTTTCGTATGTCACGCTGCATTTTAATCATACCACGTATGTCCTAACCGCGATTATCCTGGATAAATCATAGGACATTACGCGTATGAGTGGCGTTGATATAAGTAAATCATTTATTGTCTTATGCTTAATATTGCATTTTTAAAAATTATTATTGTACAAGAACTTTACATTAGTCCTAAAACGTATATATTGGACTATGTATCGAAGATTTCGGATTGCAAATTGGTATGCATTTACGTCATTTATGTCAAATTGCGTACAATCGTTACAATCAATATTTAAGGATATATTGGCTAAAAATTATTTAAATTTAAAAACATTGCGTTTCTTATTTTAGACCGTCAAATTTTAAAACATCAAATGAATAGATTTGAATTACACAATGAGTGTGTTAAAATATAAACTAAGATTAGTTTTAATGTTTTTATTATAGAAAGAAAATGGTTGTAACAAATACTTTTTTCTTAAACCAATGACAAAGAGACAATTTTTAGATATGAATACTTTCTAAAATTAACTGTAAAAAACAAAATAATAAAGAATTGCTAAATTTTTGCTGCCAAAATAAATTGTATTAATTCAATAGTCATGTTTTACTACAATTTTTTTTAATATAACTTTCAGTATAACTTTAGAATATTATATATGCAGTTATATTTTTTAGTATAACTTCAGAATAACTTTTAAAATAATCAGTGAGTTAGAATGAAAGTTTGCTTGAATATTTGTTAGAGATTACATAAAGTTTTGTTAGAGATTATAGAAAATTTGATCTTTGGCAGACTATACCTCTTTGTCAAATTTGTCAATAAATGCTGTAGCACAATTTTCAATAAAAATCAATGTAAACATAAACGTTAATTAACTCCAACCAATCAGAGAATTATGGATAGAGTTTGCAAAGATGTTGGGAGTAAATAATGAAACACAATGTATGAAATTTTTAGAATTTTTCCAATATCTTAACATGTGATTTATATATCTTTAAAGTCATGGAACATCTTTGATAATTATATAACATATAACATATATTTGTAAAGAAATATAGTTCTATTTTTATTATTTAATTTAGCTGTATTTAAGTTGATAATTTGTCATACGAAGAATAGTTTTCACACACTATGTTATATAAAATTTGCGCTATTAAATATTTACTTTATATTGGGTAACTATATGCTAAATGATTTATATTTAATATTTGTTTTGACAGAAAAATTAAGCAGCGTGATTCCACCAATATCGAATCTCAAGCTGATAAAACGTCAGAAGTTTACAAACTAATGGACGATCATGTTTTTGTAAAACCTGTTGAACCTAAATCTACTATTGAGTCAAAGGGTCATTTATCTCTAGACAATAGGCAAAATAAGGATAAACTTGTAAGTATACATATATATTTTTGTAATATATGTATTTGTGTAACACACAGTTTTATCAAAGATATTGGCAACAAAAAAATGTGCCATCATTTGACCTTTCTTAGAATTGGAATAAAGTTTACTTGAAATATCTTGTACAATTTTATCATATTACACTAATAATGTTGCGTATTTAAAATATATTTTTGAGAAAAAAAAGCGAACAAACTTTAATAAAAATAAATTTTTAGGATGAGGATAGCAGGGAATCAACCACAGATAAAATTATAGGAAGAAGAAGATTTCGAGAACTTCGGCAACGCATGCAAACGGAAGACGACGATATTCCGATTAACAGTTCTCCTCCGGACAGTCAGACATCTTCCATCGAGGGTGTTTATCCCACCCCTTCGAAAACGACACATCCATTCAGAATCATAGAACATGACACTCTCAGTTTACAAAGTATGACCTCTTTGGGACGAGTTGGCCGAATTCTGGCAGGAGTCGCAGATAATGCTTCTGGTGTGCTTGCACCTAGTATAGCACAGTGCTCTCCTTCCACTGCCCTCACCCGTGAAGGTCAAATGTCCTCCATTGCTAGTATTCCAAGTAAAGACGAGGACACAGCCTCTGGTAAGGTGTCTCAGTCTTCCAGCATCCTTACGTTATCAGGGGATGTCCTGCAGGAATCCTCTGCTAACAATAGGTCCGGTTATGTTTCTCAATCTCAAAGTGACAAGATTGCTATGCTTCAAGAACCCGATGTCATTGCAAGTACAAAGAATAACGGGAAATCAGCAGAAGATATTGCAATGCCTGGCATACCAGTAGCTCCACCGCGTCGTAAGAAGAAAACAAAGATTCATACACCTAATGATCTTGCTGTAAGATTCATTATGATTATTCTTACGTTGTTAACTCCTTGAATGTTAATCTCTCGAATGTTAACCCCTTTAATGTTAATGACATATTTATGAATCAGTTCAAGAAACGTAGTATTTTCCACATATATGTAGGATTTTCATAATACACGCTTTTGTTGAGGTCGCTAAATTCGAAACAAAATTCGGCTAAAATTTTTAAATTTAATATAGCAGATTTCAAATGTTATTCTATTCTCATCAAAGTTGATCCATGGATTTTCTATGATCTTTAAATTTAAATTTAATATAAAAATTTTGAAACTTGAAGAGTATTATATCTTTATAAAACACTAAATGAAAATTATTGTATTCTGAAAATTTTCTTTTTACGTAATACTTGAATCAATCGTCAACAATTATTTTTGAACTTAATATATTATATTTTCACATTTTTTGTTTTTCATTCTTGAATCACAAAATTTACATCTTAAATTTTAAATTAAGGATTTTTAAAATTCCTAGAAAGAATTTCGTATAAAATCCATCATTTGAATTTCTCTAATTGTACTCGTACGTTATATTCGTAATTTAGAATTTCAAAATGCTGACAGCAGATTTGAATTTAGCGTTCAAAAAATTTTTGAACATACAATCTATGTAAATTCAATTACTTTTTTTACAAGAATTATTCTGAATTAAAGCGTTTTTAATTATACAAAGCACTTTATGATTATACAAAGACTAAGATTTAATTTATAAAGATAATTTATTAAGTGAAAAAATATAATTAATTTCAGCCTTCTGTGGAAACGCTTGTATCCGCATCGCCACTTCCAAGTCCAGCAAGTACTATAGAATCGATTACTCGAGAATTCGAACACTCTCTTGATATCCGATCCGCGACAAAAGGACAGTACGTTGTTAAACCTCAGGTAAATATTGCCGTTGAAAACTGCCGTTTCAAAACTTGTATCTTTTATTTGAATTTTGTAATTTTTATGATATATTAGTTATCATAATATTTATTATGTATTCTCAGGATGAGGATAAATTGAAAGCAGAAGGGCCATCTACTGAGGAATTGGAAAGAGTAGAAAGAATGAAGGCAGAATTGCTTAATCGAGCGAGTGAAAAATCTAGTAGCCCATTAGGATCAGCATCGAGCAACAGTATTGGCCGTTATTCCATAGGTCCGTACAAGCTCTCAGGCATGAGCCCGCAAGGTTCTAAAGAAAGGCGTAAATCTGCTGGTGATCAAGATATGGTCAAGCAATTAAATATGTTTGTGAGGACTAGAACAGATTCTGGCAAGCGTCTTACCGATATGGTTTGTTGCTACTTTTAATAGAATATTTCAACTTTTTAACTGTTGAGAAATAAAAACACTTTATTGTTAAAAATAATTTCTATGTCTAAAAACAGCTGTGTAGCTGTGTAGTTCATGTCAGATTTGAATAAAAAAAAGATACCATTAAAAAAGTTAGAAATCAAGTTTGACGAGAAACAAATAGTATAGTTTAAATTTGCATCCGCTATTTTGAGTTTCGAAAATTTTGACTAGAGATTCGAATTTAGCTACCCCAAAGCCTACAGATATCGTATTATGCAAAAATATTGTAAATAAGATACACCTTTTTATTTTTAAATTACATATATATGCAGTTATCAATACTGGCGGTTACTTTTCATATGATGCATGTATGCGTCATTAATACAGTCGAAGGATTAAATCATCAAACATTTTATATCGAAAATATTAGTAAAATAGTACATGTCAAAATTTTTGATCTGTGCTTGCAGGAAATCTTGGAACAAGTGCCTGTAACGAATTTAGATACGGGGGAACAGGTGCCATTGAGTATAGCAGAGGATAAATTACCACAATGTATTAATCCTTTGTCATTACATATTATGAGACTCACTAAATCTAAATACATAAGCAATTCTAGTCTTGAGAAAGAAAAGGAGAGCGATGAGGAAAGCGTGGACAGTAAAATGTCTAGTATACCTCCGGACGAAGATGTATCCGTGGATAGAGTCCGTAAGCGGACGCAAAAGTTGAAACGATTTTTAGGATCCACTGTAAAAAAGACAATGAACAAGGCTAAGTCTATCGCGCAAGAGGTATCGCATGCAAGACACAAGGAAGATGTCATGGACATAGTAGATGAAGTCTATCTTGGCGAGCAACAATATATAAAATTAAAGGCATCAAACAGCCACAAGGGTCCGTACGAGTTCAGTTGTCTGCAGCATGTACAGGATCTTAATGGAGAACATATAGGACCTGTTTGGTGTATGAAATTTTCCGCCTGTGGCCGATTGCTGGCCACCGCTGGACAAGATCGGGTTCTAAGGATTTGGGTTTTACGAGATGCTTTTACATACTTTCAGGACATGCGAACCAAGTACAATGCGGAAAAAGTTAGTCCCACTCCTTCGCAGGAATCGTTAGTTTCGCAGCAATCTATGGAAGATCCTAACATCGTGGCTAGTGCCAGCGAAATAGAAGGAACGAAAAGTCCGTTCATGCCGAAGCCATTTTGTACATACACCGGTCACACTTCGGACTTGCTTGATGTTTCATGGTCTAAGAATTACTTTGTTTTATCCTCATCGATGGACAAAACTGTACGGCTTTGGCATATATCCCGCAAGGAATGTTTATGTTGCTTTCAGCATATCGATTTTGTCACCGCTATAGTATTTCATCCACGAGACGACCGGTATTTTCTCTCAGGATCATTGGATGGTAAATTGCGCTTATGGAATATTCCAGACAAAAAAGTCGCTGTGTGGAACGAAGTGGACGGACAAACAAAATTAATTACCGCAGCAAACTTTTGTCAGAACGGAAAATTTGCGGTGGTTGGATCGTACGACGGTAGATGCATATTTTATAACACAGATCAATTGAAGTACCACACACAGATACACGTTCGATCGACAAGAGGGAAAAACTCCACCGGTCGCAAAATCAGCGGAATCGAACCTATGCCGGGTGAAGACAAAATTTTGGTTACATCAAACGATAGTCGCATTCGTTTGTACGATTTAAGAGACTTGAATTTATCTTGCAAATACAAGGGCTACGTGAATGTCAGCAGTCAGATTAAAGCAAGTTTCAGTCCCGATGGACAATATATAGTTAGTGGTTCTGAAAATCAATGCATTTACATTTGGAAAACCCATCACGATTATTCCAAGTTCTCTAGTGTTCGTAGAGATCGAAATGATTTCTGGGAGGGTATAAAAGCCCACAATGCTGTAGTAACATGCGCCGTATTCGCACCAAATCCAGATAGTATTATTAAACAAATTGAAGCGAGAGAACAGTGGGAAAGCAAAGAGGAGTCGAAAGGTGTGGATAATTCTAATGTAAGTGTTGTTCCCGTTGATCCTGTTGTTGAACAACGCACCAAAGGCTGCGGCGGCCATGTCCTAGTGAGCGCCGATTTCAATGGATGCATAAAGGTTTTTTTAAATAAGACAAAACCTAAACATAGTTCCCTACCAGCATCTGCACTCGCGTAATGTAACACGCATGCACACGCGCGCTTGCGTTCATACATACATACATATGACACACGCGCTCGCATGTGCATAATTGGGTTCCTTTGTTCTTTACTCAAAGAAACCGAGCAAATCTTTATCCTGAATTTTTTCCTCAAATGTTCATCGCTGGGTGTGTATGAGATGTTTTAATTTAAACTGTCAAATTTCGTGAACCAAGTGATATAGTTAAAAAAAAAAAAAAAAAAAAATATATGTTTCCACAATAAAAGCTACAAAGTCGAGGAGAATTAAGGAATTAAGTCTGGCTGTGTATGTGTGTGTGTGTGTTGAGGAACTGTCACGGTCGCTGGTATAAGAGTCTTTAATTGATTTTGAAAAATAATAAAGCCAGCAGTTTATTAAATATAAAAGAAGAGATAAATAAAAGCTAGAAAAAGATGAATAAATAGAAAACAAGTCTTAGTAGCTGCTCAATATTCTAATTTGAATTTACGCTAAAATCATGGCCTCATTAACTGTGTTCACCAAAATCTAATTTTCTTCGAAAGTTCGCAACTTCTCACAATACCTCAATTTTTGCGTCTGCTTTGAGAGCAACTGCACCGTTCTCCCGTTGTTCCGAAAATTATGCTCTTTCTCCATGAAATCGGAAGCCTCGATAACAGCACACTCTTGCTTACATCGATTAATCTATATCATTCATCCACTATTATTATGATCAGTCAGGCGCTTACATTGGTTTCAAGATAAAACCATAAGTTGTATTTTTTTAAATAGCAATTTCTATTTTTGTTTTTGTTATCGTAAAATATAGAAAAATTCATTCTAAAAGCGTGTAACATATGACTGAAAATATCAATTATAATGCTAGCTTTATTTGGTTTTACTTAAGATGTACCACGTGGAGGTTACACGGCTGGATTTACAACTCGCACGTCCGTGCATACATTACAACATTGCTCAGAATTTCCATTGTTTTGCTCAATACAAATCCGTTCTTTATTAAAAACAAAAGAAAAAAAGAATTTTCACAAGTAACATGTTATATGCTTTTGAACACTGATTTTTTTCTGTTTTTTACGGTAGCAAAAATAAAAAATGGAATTACCATTTGAAAAATGTGACCAAATATAAATGTATAACTCATGATGATATTTTAAAATTGATAGCTTCAACACGCACAGCCAAGTTTTCCCCTCCAAATTTCACAACTTTTATTCGATGTATTTTTTTGTCACATTATTTACGGGTTACTCGAGAGTTTGAATTAAAATGGGATATTCTGTATGTGCATCATTTGAAAACTGATCACTAGGGTTAAAGATACATATATGCGTTATTTTTGAAGAAGTGTTTTCTACCCGTCGGTCTTGGTAAAATATGATATTTATAGGTTTTTGGAATCACTAAATTCAAGTTTTCGATCAAAATTTTCGAGTTTAACATGACAGACCTACTCTAGCAAGGGCAAATTTGAATTATTATTCTATTCTCATCAAACTTGATTTTTATGGGTTTTAATGGTATTTGAATTTAAATCTGACATAAAAATTTTGAAATTTAGGAGAGTATTAATATTTTTATAAAACAACAAGTAAAGTTTATTGTTCTGAAATTTTCATTAAGTTTACATGTTACAAGTTTAAATGTGAAGTATCAATAATTTTTCAATTTTTTTATGCTTAAAATTTTTTATTTTTGAATTACAAACTTTACATTTTAATTTGTAAATTAGTTTTCCAAAATTAAAAAAATAACTTTTATATAAAATTTATCATTTGTGAAGTTTTAATTATTTTTACATGGAATTCGCGATTGGAAACTTCTAATTTTTTGACTGAAGATTAAAAAATTCAATGTCTCAAAATAAGTAATATATCTGCGCGTGCGAATACTCTTTCTTTTTGCTTTCTACACACTACAAGTTTTGCTATACTTTTCTTGATTGCGAGGAACAGGTTACAGATCATGTGTGAAAATATTACAAATAATAATAAATTAATAACAAAAATTTTAATAAACTGCTTAAATGTTTAAGTTTAGCAATACTTATCATGTGTCAATTACAAACGTAATATATACATATATATATATTATAAATATGTGGACATTATAATATTAATTAAATTGAAGATTACATTATGTCGAATAACAAAATCTTGCATATTTTCATATTTTGAATATTTTTTGTTGACCAGTTTTATAACTATTTTTTTTATTTCTCAGTTGTATATCAAAATTTGGCGGTGCTGATCGATTGTTATTGCAAAGTTATTCTCTATTTTACAAAAAAAAAATTATAAAAATTATGTTATAGAATGATAACACAAGTTGTCAGTGAAAAATAATATTTAACAAATATCGAATTCCCATATATGACATATGATAAAAACATAATGAAGATAAGAGCACCTTGGTGAAAACAAAGTATAAAAATGTACGCGAACAAAAATGTGAAAAGCTCCTTCGATTAATTATATCCGGTTCTCTGATTTACATAAATTTTTTGATTATTTATCAATAGTGAAATGTGAAATAATATTTGTTAATCTTTATGAATATTAAATCGTACAATTGCACAATTTTAATGATTTTTAAAACGCGATCTTCTAAAATATAATAATTATAAGATAGTGTAAAACATGAAGACAATATCAAAAGTTTTAAAGTTAAAATACATCATATTTGGGTTTTTCTACATATTTTAGAAAGTGTAATGCTGCATTTTTATTATAAAATTTTAGAATAATGTTTGTGACACACGTGTTGTATAATTTGATGTTGCGCTATATATAAAATATCCATCAGTCTCATAATGTGTGTACATATGTAACTCATCTTGTATAATTAAAATTTTATTATAGGAATTGTCAAATGCTCACGACATTCGCTATCTAGAGTTTAATGTCGTAGAATATGCGATTTAATATTTGCGTGTTCTGTAAATCATGTACTTCGCGTCTCGTCAATTACAAAAATAGAAATCATTGTCCTTAAGAATAACCATAATCTGTAAGAGAGACCGATGCTCTCTCGAAATTCTGTATATCTTTTTCTTTCCACTTTTCACAATGTATTACTAAAAAATAATTTTGAAACATTTTGAATTGGAATATGATCTCATGATGAAATAATCTGGAATTCCCAGTAATGTGAGTATAATCCGAGTTATAAATAGCGTAAAGTACATATTTAAATTGTATCATGATTATATATATCTATATATATATATATATATATAATGTAAATATATACAGGAAGAAAATGTAGATATTTTGTGTAAACGCAATTGTAAATACAATAGTGTATCAATATCGTTGGACTAATAATATGTATTAAAAGCCTACTAAGAAACCTCCTAAAGAGCCTATTAAAAGTTTAAGAAAATCTTTACCAAAGATGTATCGCAAGATTATACGAAAAGTTTACGAAAAGTGCAAGAGTATATAACAGATTGTAAAGAAGAATGAGAGAGACATGAGAGAATTAATGATATCATTATTACTCGGTTTCTTACAGCTACTCCTAATATGGAATTGATTTCATTTGGCGTATCTCTGATTACTTTCGGCATATCGGAAGGCCATTTTTTGCGCCAAGGTTCGATTTAGCTCTTCAGCAATGTTGACACGAGTTTTGCTTCAGTTATGTTGGAATTTGTTAAACAATTGTTCAACATTAACACTTGGGCTTGTTTCACTTGTTTCATTCAGAGTTTATCACTTTATTCTAGCGAAAAAACAAAAGTGCAAGATAAAATAAAAAGTAATGAAAAGTATCATGTATCATTAACAAAACTTAATTTGTCAGTGCTTTTGGTCGAAAGTAAAAGTTAAAAATAATACTATTTGGTAGCCTTTTTTCTCAAAATTCTAATTTATTAAAAATATTTTTTCGTAAAACGTTTTATTTTGCAAACATTTTGATTGAATATTCAAATAAGGCACACTGTGCATTATATATACAATATATACATTAACATAACTACGCATACATAACTCTTGCACTTATATATTTTGAGAGAGAGAGAGAAAGAGAGAGAATTTTTAATTTTGTTTTGTGATTAAAAGATTATGTAATTTCTTTGTTTATATTTGTATACGCATAAAATAATGCATACGAAAGAAGAGTTAGTTGCCCCACTCTCTGCAGTTTTAACCAGCCGCATTTATATATACATATATATATAGCTCTGCTTCTCTTCTTAAACTGCGATCCACATAGTTAGGATGCGATCAGTGTCATACAGTCAATCAGTACGTTTGGACGGTAGAATTTCTCTTACGTGGCGTTACATCCTATTTTGTGAGGTCTGTCGCGCCAACAAAGAGAGAACGGTATTTTCGGTGTTTTGCGCTCGAACCACATCTCCCGAGATATTTCGAGGTAAGTCAATAGAAGACGGCAGGTCGAACGAGCAACGGGCTGCCGAGCACGTGCGCTCTTATGCCAGCGCCTCTAATGTGCCTTTAGAATCGCATAAATATATAGACTGACGATATATTATAAAAAATACAGATGACAAATCAATTTACCCTTATAAATTTAACTTTCTTCAATATTTAACTTTATCAATTGTAAATTATATTTTTATTAAAATATAAGAGGATATAAGATTAAATAAGAAATGAGATTTTCGCTATCTTTTAGAATTTTGTACATTATTGGCTTATACAAAATTGAACTTTTCATGTATTCTATTTCCCTCAAATAAAACACAAAAAGAAGTCACATACATAGTTAAGTTTAGAAATACTAAATATGCTTTTATAAAGTATTGATTTTGAAGAATTGATTTTTGAAGAATTTAAAATAAGATAATGCTTTGACTCGATATCCGAAAGTTTATTCTTTTGTATAACTTTATTAGTTTTTGGAGAATTGCAAAACGTTGCAGCATTCAGTCGATCGAAATCAATATTGTATTCGAAATATTATATATATTAAACATGCTGGATTGTTCGGAAGGTTTTCTAGTTTTTTCAATTATATTTTTATTACAAAACTAGTTTATTGTAACATTAAATATTTGACGGTATTAACATTTTTGTTTAACTAAACATATTTTAAAAAGAAATTAAGGATTTACTTGCTTTTCGTCCAAAAAACGAGGCAAATAGCTGCAACAAAATTTGCAACAAATATCGAATATTGAAAAAGAAATATTAAAAAATTCTGAATTCCTACTTTCGAATGCTTTTTGCTGATTATAATTATCATCTTTTTTCGTTGTTAATGTAATTAATAAAAAGGAAAGAGATCTAGCATGGAAAATTTTCATGTTTCTTTGCAAATAGTCATCGCATGTAAAAATATCTAAGACAAATTTTGTCACAAGCATTTCAAAGCTTAGTTTTCTCTTTAATTCGAATAGTTAAAGGATTGCAATGTGATTTTCTTTACCAAATTATCGAGGGTTAAAGAAAAATTGTTTTTTTGGAAGAAAATGCTTTTGCTGCTTACCTACACGGAGTTCCTATTATTCACGTTACTATTTTTGTCATCAACAAACTGTAAACTCACTGCTATAGCAAAAGTTTTAAGGTTTGTCGCTGTAAAGAATTAAAAAAATATAAAATTTGTATAAAATTGTAAAATCTTACCTAATAGAATATCTAAATACCTCAAAATTCGTACAAATTGAACGAACTAAAAAGGTTTGACGAGATCGAGGAAATCGCGGGTAGAAATGGAAATACAAGATTAACGATTTAATTTCGCATTATACACACTTTCATATATGCAAATCAAATTTCTCATTTAAAAGAAATTTGAGAACAATCGCTACGGCGTTTTTCGTCGAATACTTAGCGCAGAGCTCAGCTCAGTTACCGCTATTTGTATCCAAAATCCGAGAGCGACTGTCTCGGTGTTTTTCGCAAGACGCATAGCGCAAAGCTCGGCTCAGTTTCCGCTATTTGCGTCCAAAAATTGTGTCGATAGTCGACCATTATTCGGTGGTTGATTTATGTCCGACCATCCCATAATCAATGGGATTATAGGTTTTGAATTTCCGTGCTCGACCATGGGATCACGGATGCACGGATGGGTAAACTAAAAAAGATCGCGAAAAAATTAGCGTACAGCAAGAATAAATATTTATTCAAAAATTGTTAAACGTAAATATGCTTTTCCATTAAATCAATTCCCAGCAAACACTAACAAACCAACAGTAACATAATATCAATGTTATAATTTTCCACTCAATAATATAATAGTTACGTGCAAAACATATTATATTGTTGTTTGCTGAATGGAACAGTAAATGTTGTTTGTTGAATGGGAAATTATAATATTGATGTTATGATACTGTTGATTAGTGTTTGCTGGGTTATTTCGAACAAATGAAGTATCTGCTTTGCCCGACAAAAACAGTTACGTCACATCCATGTCGAATCCACGTAATTTACGTGGACTACGCGGACTACGTGGATGTAGATTTATCCACGAATTATTCATATGGATGCAACGTTCTTTTTTCATCACTACATCGAAGTACTTTAATCTCGAAATGTCAATGCAGATTTCATGTGGAAATTTCTACTAAAGATAATAATTGATCAATCGAGGTATATCGTTGTGTTTATCGCAATGTGATTTTTAATGGATAATCAATTTATGAATATTTTGATTTCTGTATATACCGCAGGTGAGGTAAACTTGTATCGAACAAGACAATATTATTCTATACCCAGTGAAAAATACAGGTCGAATAAACGTCTAATAGACATCTTATAGACGTCTATAAACGTTTATTAATCAATAATAAAACAACGTTTATTATTCACTCAAATATCCATGTGGATTCCACGATACTGATCCGCATGGCAATAACGTAGATTTCACGTACTGTTTTTGTCGGGTGTATTCTTCATTTGTATTTGTGATACGTATATATTACACATTACACACACACACACACGCGCGCGCGCGCGTTTGTACAATATTTAATCTTGGAAAGATGTAAAATTTAAATTACTTCAAGAAAGGGAAAGAGGAGAGGGGAAATAAAAGCACAAATCTAACAATCGATGCAATGTGTTCCTCTAATATGTTTTATAAGATTTTATTTTTATTTTCTTTTTTTCTAATATTTTTAAAAATATATACATTACTAGAATTACTAGAAAAATATATACATTACTACAATAAAAATCTTATTTTATTTTTTTTTTCATAACATTTCTCTCATTTTGTATTGTAAAGAATATAAATAATACTTTTCTGTCCTATTACAGGTTGTCTTTCAAGCAGTTATAAGTTTGGAGGTGAATAGTAGTATAGTATATAATAGATAATCTTCAGGCTGTATGTATTAGATACGAGTTTTTAAACTGCTATTAAAAACTAGATAGAAGAAACTAAAGAGACGAGATGGCAAGTCGAATGAAAACTTTATACAATCAGGTATTTTTCAATACGCATGCAACAGGCATCTATATATCGCGCATATACAATTACTATTAAATAAAATAAGTCTTAAGCATAATTATCATCATAAAAATTTATAAACGATTTAATGTTTATCTGGTATAATTTTCAATCGTATTATATAGCATTAATGTACAGTTATATTTTTCTTTTATTTTATTTCTGGTAACGTCAGACTTCCCCCAAAGATTGTCCAATAAAAATTTTAGCATTTTTTATAAGAATAATTTATTATTTTAAAAAATTTTTAACACTAATTTTTAACACTAAAAACTAGCAGTTAACATTTTTGAGATGTTTACCGTTATGAAAAAGCAAAAACTTGTATTCGTGAAGATGAGAAATAGAAAAATATACTGATAATTTTGTTAGGTTATATTCGAGAGACGAATTCTTCTGGGTTGCACCGCTCTCGTAGGACTCTCGATATGCATATGGTCCGTGGCTATAGGAACTGACCATTGGTTTACACTAGAATCGCCAGATGATCAAGGTTTGCCTTTAGGAGGCGCTGGTAAGAAGGGCAGAAGATTGATCTACAAACATATGGGCCTTTGGAGAGGCTGTATCACTGGAGTTGTGCCTGAAGCGGACAACCTCACGAATATTATATCTTACAGTAAGTGCGATTTATTTTAGATTATTTTAGTATAATATCGACATTAAGAAAAAAATAGAAAAATAACAAAACAGAAAAAATATCAAACATTAAATTTTGCTGATATCAAGTTATATTAAAATTATCAATTTAGTTCAAACTTCTTCCAACATATTTGACTACTCTTGGTGTCCTAACGTGCCATTTACAATGAATGCCAAAAAAACTAATTTAAGATAATTTATTTGCAACCTGTATATTTTGTTATTTCAGAAGAATGCAAGTATTTGAATATGTTTCCAACGGAGATACAAATAAAACTGGATTCAAGTTTGGACGCGACAGTATTGAGTAAGTATAACTTAACTTTTCAAGATTTGTAAACCTATATATTCCTATTGTAGCCTCGATATTTTTGTATTAAGATTTTTTACTGTATTTTATCTCCAGAATATACTATTAAAGTATCGGGCGGTACTTGTGAGACACCCTGTATATTCGATGTTTGTGAAATATCGATATTAAACTGTTAAAGTAAATATAATGCTTCAAAACACCACTAATTGTTATTAAATAAAGCTTACGTAAAAAAATTCAAACAACATTAATTTACCTTTATTTTTTAGCTATATTGTGTACATACCTGTACACCTGGTCACACTAATGCCTTAACACATGAAGTTGCACGGGTGTCAAGGCATATCGAGTCGGCGTGTTCCGACTCTACATATTTTTACATCGTGACTGTGGTTATGAACACAGCAGCAAAGCTGTTTTGACTGTTTCAAAGCAACTGGAGCAATTGACATATAAAGGTTAATATTTATAATATTTATATTTATATCAATATTTATTGATGGTGGAAAACGAGTTAATATACAGGGTGTCCCAGACTTACCGTATCACTCTTTAATGGCACATTCCTGAGGTCATTTGGAGACGAAAATCTTAATACCAAAATGTCGAGGCTACTATAGTATTTGAATTGGAAAGGCTTAAAATTTACCAATCAGCTTGTCAGAATTTTGCGCGCTCAGGGACATCGTATCTCGAAAGGACCCTTGCACAACACTTTATGTAGCAGATCGATACTTCGTATCGATAGTATTGATTTTCTCTCATGACATGAGAAACGTCATTTGTCAATGGCACGACTGCTTTGACAGTTCGACGCGCATCGTATTTTAACACAATTTAGAAATTATTATCGTTAGTAAATTCGTCAGTATTGCGAACAATGTAAATAAAGTGAATAAAGTGAATAAGAGCTGAGTGAAGTGAATAAAACGTATTGAATAAAGTGTTGTGCAAGGGTCCTTTCGAGATGCGATGTCCCTGAGCGTGCGAAATTCTGACAAGCTGATTAGTAAATTTTAAGCCTTTCCCATTCAAATACCATAGTAACCTCGACATTTTGGTATTAAGATTTTCGTCTCCAAATGACCTCAGGAATCTGCCATTAACGGGTGATACGGTAAGTCTGGGACACCCTGTATATACTGAATGATGAAGAAAAGTTTAATTATTTATCAAAATAAGAGGAACTTATATAAAGCAATTAACAGATTTGAAAGTATTAGCATGATAATAAGAAAAAAATAAATAATATTTTGATTTAATAATATTATCTGTGATTTATTTAAACGAATATTTTTACTTACATGAGAAATTTCTAAGTTTTCAGCAAATTCTTTGACTACACCACAATCACATGCTAATACTTCCAAATCTGTTAATTACTTTATATAAGTTCCTCTTATTTTGATAAATAATTACACTTTTCTTCATCATTTAGTATATATATTAACTCGTTTTCCACCATTAATAAATATTGATATAAATATAAATATTATAAATATTAACCTTTATATGTCAATTGCTCCAGTTGCTTTGAAACAGTCAAAACAGCTTTGCCGCTGTGTTCATAACCACAGTCAGGATGTAAAAATATGTAGAGTCGGAACACGCCGACTCGATATGCCTTGACACCCGTGCAACTTCATGCGTGAAGGCATTACTGTGACCAAGTGTATAAAATGCGACCCAATAATGCATGTTAAAAGCCATTTAGTCCATTCATCAATTTACAGATTACTCCAGGACTCTAGTCTCATTCGCCTTGATCAGTCTTTTCGTAATGGTGATGAGCTTCTGCTTTTCGATTTACACATTCCTAAATCCACGCTACATGTTTAAACGTCTCGCCGGGGGAATACATCTCATAACTGGTAATTAAAATTACAAAATTTAGAGTAATGTTTTATTTTTGATCCGAGATGAAGTATTATAAATTGTATAATAATTATATAAATTATACAAATCTGAAATTATGTGCGAAATATGTTTCGCTATTGTAATATTTCAATATTTCAACTGGCTTGTCAACATTAGAATTTCAGCGAAGAAGGAAACACAAACTTGCGCCACATTAGACATATGTAATTAATCTACAATGCAAAAGCATAAGTTTACTATTTATTTTTCGTGTTATTACGTACAAAAATGTAGGAAAGGAACGGCGAACCTATGGCGCGTGTACCTCAGGTGGCACGCGAAAAAAAATTTGTCAACATGCAAATGATTCGTTACATGAAATCAATTTTATTTTCATCTTTCTAAACCATTAAATAAAAAATAACTCTTTGAACGTAATAGTTATAAAATTTGAACAAAAGTTGAAATTATAAATGCAATACTAATATTATTAAAAATAATGTTCACAATTTATTAAAATTTTGTTTTTTTAATAATACCGATGATACGCGCCACCTATTATTATACAGGGTGTCCCGCACAAGGTGAATCATTTCTCGTGTACAGGTAGAGCGGGTTAAACCGAGTAGAAAAGTTCTCTACCG